TTAATTTCAAAGATTTTCATGGGGTGTTAACTAAAGCAAAACAGGACAAAAATGGGTAAGAGACACAACTTTTAATAGCAAGAAGTAGGATGAAGAGAAAAAAACAATATAGGAAAATAATGTTCACAGAGAAAAGATAAAATATTTTATATTGTAAGCCAAAATATTATTAGTAAAGCAACAAATTCAAGCTAACTACAGCAAAAGACTAATGTGTAATCCAATTTGCACTGATTAAGGAAAAAGAGAGAAAGTTAATTTTTTAGTCTACAGTAATTAAGAAAGCCCTAAAGTTCCCTGAACTATTTATATTATTATTATTATTACTTTTATTTTTAAAAAAGATGATCGGTGAGGGGATCTTAACTCTTGAGTTGGTGTTGTCAGCACCACGCTCTCCCAAGTGAGCCAACCAGCCTTCCCTATACAGGGATCTGAACCCGTGGCCTTGGGGTTATCAGCACCAAACTCTCCCAAGTGAGCCACGGGCTGGCTCCTCTATTTATATTTTTAACTTAAGACAAAATATACTTTAAAAAACTAGTTTACATCCCCTCACTGGCCAGCCACCAAAAAAGATAAAAAATTTAAAAAACCAAGAAACTAGAATTATTAGTAAGAAATAAACTATTTTGAAATTCTAACTTATTTCAGAAAATTTTTAATTTATTTAATATGTAAATTAATTTTTAGAATAAAAAAGCAGACTGCTGATTTAGCACATAAAAATGCTAAATAATCTTTCAGATAACCAGTAATGTGCTAAAATAATGCATCAATGATCTCTGGACCTAAGTTTGAATATTTTCATGAAATATAATGTATATATTCTCCTTAAAATGACCATAAATATCAGCCAAAAGTACTCACAAGTCAATACAGGGTTTTTCCATCCTTGGTACATAATAGGCCTTGAGATTTCTGGAGCAGAGCATAATATTGAAGCAAATTTTAAAAGTTCTTTTTAAAAGCAGCAGAAGAAAGTATAAAAACCTTGCTAAAAGCAAAATCCTATATTACCAATTTTTTTTCCCCGAAATAGGACAGCTGAACCACTCATGATATGAGCAAGGAACTATACCAAGAGGATGACAATCTTACTTTCTTGATGTTTAGAGTAGATTTCTTTCCTGTTAGAAGCACAAAATAAATATTTATATAGGGACCACCCTTATGCATAAGCAACTTGTAGGAGTGGCAGGAGTGACTGTACTGCCTTGCAACCATGCTGGTAAAAAATATTTACATAACTATGAGCTTCCAGGGAAAATTTTTTATACTTAGTTATTTCATGAGTGCAGAGGGCTCAACATAAACAAATGTTCTAACATCCTCACAGTACTTCATTTCAGCACTACAGATGTTATTCAACCTAAACCAAACCAGCAAAAAAAAATCTAAATTCTTTCTGAGAGAGAAATAATATCTTTCTTTAAACTTCTACAGCACTGTATCTCTGTCTTTTTTACAGTACTTATCGCCTACCTTTTATTAGTCATTTCTGCACATGCTCTTCTTCTGTCAGTTTAAGGAGAAAGCTATTATTGTCATCTAAAACATCAATGTAGCTTGTGCTTTGTTGAATATGAAAGTGGAATTTTAATGATAACTCAGTATATTGCAATAGAAAGCAAAGACTCAGCAACTGTTAACCTTTTCAGGGCCATCAACCACTCTGAGAACCTCTTGAAAGCTATGGATCTTGTCCCCAGAAAACTGTACATACACAATTTTGAATATAATTCTGGGGATCCCCTGAAGCCCTTAAGAGACCCAAGGACCCCATTTAAAAACTGCTGGTGCATGAAATACCAATAGCCAATGCCTTCTTCAACTGAAGAGAATAGGGCTAAAAAAGAGGGTGTTAACAGTTCAAGTGTCTATCAGTCCAGTAAGGCTACCCCACACTAGAGGCTACCCCACACTCTAGTATCTACTAGAGTAGATACCCCACACCAGGCATCTACTGACCATCTACCCACCCTTCAATCACAAGAAAACTAGCCAATCAAAACCAACCAACCAACCAACCAAAAATTCCCTTCAGGGCCAGCCTGTGGCTCACTCGGGAGGGTGCGGTGCTGATAGCACCAGGGCCACGGGTTCGGATCCCATACAGGGATGGCCGGTTCGCTCACTGGGTGAGCGTGGTGCTGACGACACCAAGTCAAGGGTTAAGATCCCCTTACCGGTCATCTTTAAAAAAAAAGAAAAAAATTCTCTTCAGGAAAATGATTAGCCTCAGATATTTATAGCAGCTTTATTTAAAACTACCAGTCTTAGAAGCAATCAAGGTGTCCTTCAATAGCTGAATGGATAAACAACTGTGATACATTCATACACTGAAGTATTAATCAGCAATAAAAAGAAACGAGCTATCGAGTTATGAAGAGACATGGAGGAAACTTAAATGCATATTGCTAAGTGAAAGAAGCCAATCTGAAAAGGCTACATTCTGCACGATTCTAAGTACATGATATGCTGGAAAAGGTAAAACTACTGAGATAGTAAAAGACATAGTGGTGACTAGGGGTTTGTGGGGAGGTAAGGAGAGATGAACAAGTTAGAGCACGGGGGAATTTTAGGGTAGCGAAACTATTCTGGTTGACACTGTAATGGCAGATACATGAAATTATGCATTTGTTAAAACCCATAGAAAGCACAAAGGGTGAACCCTAATGCAAACTATGAATTTTAGTTAATAATAGTGTATCAATATCAGTTCATCACTAGTAACAAGGATAACACACTTCACTTGATTTTCCAATGTTCACACTTATATAGAACTCTTTACTTTTTAAAGTATTTAGTCTTAAATTTTTTTAAGTTAAAAAGTAAAGCAAACAAAAAATCCTTTGACAGTATTTATCAATATTAGCCAAAAGCTTTCTCTTTTAAATACTCCCGTACAAAGCTAGATATTTTAAATAAAGTATAATTGTTAACTATTTGAACTAATGAGAGTTATAGACTTGAAAAGTCAAAAAAATAATTTGGGATTTAAATGAATTTCCACTAACCATGAGTACAGAAAATGTTGTGAGACTTTATTTTTAATAATGAATAATGAAGATATATTGAAACAACCTGGAAAGTGGCACAAATTCCCTGCTGTCCACAGCACAAAGCCGGACTTCACATGCAGATGACAAAATTTCCTGCCAGCACAAGCCCCAGCAGACATGCCATATCAAAATTCCCATGTGTAGAATTAGATGGTTAAAGAAGTACTGCTAATTTTTAAATTGTAATACTGGTCTAATGTGTATGTTTTAAAGAGTTATCTTTAAAGATACTCAGACACATGGACAAAATAGTATATAAGAGATTTGCGTGAAATTAAAACAGAGCTGGGGGTGGATGGTGAAGTGGAGTATAAATGAAATAAGGGTAGCCATAAGTTAGTGATTGTTATAATTGCTGCTGGGTGGTTCGTTACACTCTTCTTTATTTATAGTTGAAAATGTCCATACCAAAAAAGTTAATAACCCACCAACAAACAAACATCTCTAGTTAAATGTTTGGGTTTGTAATGCAAAGTAAGGGTTATCAGAGTATAAGACGGGGGCAACTAGAATTTCAACTATTAATGAGGACCAAAATGTCAGTAATAAGCACAAAATGCCTCTGATCTATAAAAATAATTTTCACTCTAGTATGTACACACACGTACTCTCAAATGAGGATTATAGTCAAGAGTTAGCTGATTCATATTTTACACAGAATGCTAACATGTGTGGTTATCGAGCTTCTTAGCCCAGCCAACAACTAGAATGGAGGTTAATAAAGGCAGAAGTACAAAAGGCAAAAGACTGCTGATGGTCTAATAGGATGAGGAAAGAGAGAACAGCTATGTAAAACATGCAGTTTACCACTAATTAGCACAACTTCATGGAGAGTCATAACCAGCCAAATTACCTAACCTCACTTTTCTCCTCAAAAAAATGAGAACGGTAGCTACATTGATAGGCTTGAACTGATGACTGGAAGAGAGATAACATTTTCAAGTATCTTAGAAGCAGATTCTGCAATCCCAGCTGACAACTTGCCTGCAACCTTGTGAAAGATCCTGAGTCAGAACCACCCAGCTAAACTGCTTCCGGATTCGGGACCCTCAGAAACTGCATGAGATAGTAAATGTTTATTGCATTAAGCTGCTATGCTTGGGAACAATTTGCTACAAAGCAATAGATAACTAATACATTATACTTAGGGTACAATTTGTCTATTATCTGGCTAGCTAAATTTTTGTACAGATATAGTCATTGAGCCTCTTTGCTATGTAAACTAGATTATACAAGGTGTATTAGTCCATTTCTGTTGCTTATTACAAAATACCTGATGCTAGCTATTTTATAAAGAAATAAAGTTTATCTTATAGTTTCAGAGGCTGAGAAGTCCAAAGCCCAGGAACACATGTAGTGAGGGCCTTCTGGTGGGTGGTGACTCTCCACAGTGACACAAGTATCACACAGTGAATGGCTGAGCAAGAGAGCTAACCTGCTCACTCGTTCTCCTTATAAAGCCATCATAACCATGCCCATGACCATCCATTAAACCATTAATGGGTTAATCCATTCAGGAGGGTACAGTCCTCACAATCTAATCATCTCTTAAAGGCCCGACCTTTCAATTACCATAATAGGATTTCCCACTGTCTTAACACTGTTATGGGGGGATTAAGTTTCCAGTACATGAATTTTTGTAAGATACATTAAACCCATAGCACAAGGGAACTCTTTAGAGAGTACTCATCACCTTGTAATGACATGTTTATAAAGCAGGATTTTATACTTGGTATTGAACTTCTTGAATTTAACCTCATTTGTATGCAAGAGAACTAAGGGAGTAAAAATACAGACCAGTGTCATGTACCTCAGGCCTTGACCTAATACTGAGGCCTTACACTGTACTATATGCACACTCTATATGTGTATGTATACCCTATATATCTGGTCTACAATATATTTTAATAGTAATAAAAGGACCCATCATCCTACCTGAATGAGGCATTTGCTCACATCACTAGCACAGAGTGCTTTATTACAGCTCAGTGACACAGGGAGCCACATCAGGAACATTGAGATGGCTACAGCAAGCATAACAACACAGTGTGACTTCATGTTTCTTCACAGAAGACAATCAGTAACTCCCAAGAAGCTAATCAAAGAAAAAGAGAGAGAGAAAAGAAAAAAAAAGTCAAAGATAAGCAGAAGGGTAAAAACAAATACAAAAATGAAAAAACATGAACCAAGACTTACTGTTTGTGTCAAAAGACTCTTGAGTGATCATGTAAAGATCATTCTCAATGAAAGATTACTTAAACATTAAAAAACCCCATATCTTATATAATATCACGCTGATAGCCATTTTCAAAGACCTAGAATACTGAAACTCCTCAGATTACCCAGAAACGGTGACTGTCAAAGTTAGAGTGAATATATCTAAACCGGCAGTAATCTGAGTGTCTATCAAGCAAATAACTAGTTTCAATACTGCATTGTTACTATTCAACTTTAGTTTTAGGTCCATTATTCAACTTTAAGCCCATATAAAAACCATTGTATTGTATTATAATTTAAAAACATCTAGCAATTTTTCAGGTCTTAGAATCAAAACAAATTTGTAAATGGAATTTATTCTGATTACTTATGACTATCCTGTTTTGTCTCACTACAATTAGCCAAAATAAAGCAGCTCAAAGAAAGAAGTAGAGTCCACAGTCACTCTTTAAATAATTAAGCAAATAGCAAAAAGGGACAGTAAATTATTAATTGCGTTAAGAACTCTAGGTAATTTATTAAAATGTGAAGATATTGTTTTAATTCCATTCGTACCATAGACTCTTCAAAGTTATTAACATGTTACAGTTCAAAAAGAAAAAGAAAGCCAGCACAAATTCTGACTGGGGCTAAAATGGCCAACCTGGTTATATATATATAAAAAAAAAGAACATAATTTCTTGGGGTTAAAATGCACCCATAAAATATAACCAATTAAAATAGACGACTACTGATGTAACAGGGATGAAAGATAAAAGGTGGGTTTACGGGGCCTTTATGATTACTCTAAACTTTTATTCTAAGTATCACGAAGTACAATAAAGGAAAAGCAATAAGGTGAAAAGAATAAAGGGCTTTGTACCCGGTATGACTCAATTTTGAAAGAGAAGGCCATTGCGATCTTCACTGAGGCCCGAAAGCATTCCCTGAAGACCTAATTAGCAACCTAATTTTCTGATTTATTTAACGTCACATACCAAGTCAGATGATTTCTGGAGCCACCAGTATATACTTGTGGAGGCCAAAGAAGGTATTTGAAAGCGGATTTTCTGGAACTAGTTTTCATCCTACAATCACGAAAAATGAGATCCCCCCATCTTTGATAGTTGTCTCCTGAAATGTTTAACAAATTCACTTCGCTCCCAAAATGCTGCTGGAAAAAGTATTCGAGTGCAAAGGGCATGTACAATCAGGTAACGGAATTACTTAAAGGGCCTCTCGGTTGTTTTCTAAGGAATTAGAAACAGTAACGCATCCGCACTACTCTTCATCCATCGCGACCAGTTTCTGCGAACCTCAGACTGGCGACTGTGGTCCCCAAGGCAGACGGCAGTGACAGCACCCAGGACAGGGCAGGCACGGCCACCTCTGTTCAGCTGTCTCAGACCCCGAGGGCTCCGGCTGCCCGGAGGGCCGGGCACCGGGAGACTCCCGCACCCACCCTCCCCGGCCCGGCCGCCGCGGGCTGCGAGGGCCCGGACCCGCGCGGCCACAGAGATGCTGCGGGCTCGCGCCCGAGCCGACCGCCGCGGCACCCCACTTTGTCCTCGGCGTGCGCCGGGCCCAGGCTCCTCCAGCCTCCAGAGGCCCGAGCTCGGCGCCCGGCCCTCCCCGGCCCCTGAGGC